CCTGATTTTTCTTTTATTGGAAGTTATTTTTGTGTTTTGCAAAAAGTCTTTCCATATCTAGAGGTCGTGAAGATACTGCTTGTATTACTTTTAAGAGCTTTATAGGGACTGGGGAGATAGCTCAGTAGAATAAGCACTTGCCTGGCAAGCACAAGGGCCTGAGTTCAATCCTTGGTTTTGCCCAAAAATAAATAAATAAATAAATAAATAAATAAAGTGCTTTATTGTTTTATCTTTTATATTTGCCTCTAAAACTCATCTGGAATTTAGTCTTGTATTCAACGTGAGGTAGGGATGATGTTGGTTGCTTTGAAGGTGTGGGAGGAGGGTGGATGGCTGCTGTCACCCAGGCTGCTGAGCGGGAGCCTGGGGACTGGACATCCGGGATCCCAGACCAACTGCAGAATAAGAGTTGAAGAGGAGGCTTCTGCAGGGACGCTAGAAGCATGGAGGGGAGTGGGAGAAATCAAGGAGTGGGGAGGGGAGAGCAGGTGTGCTGACTAATTCTGGAATGCTCTCAATTAAGGTACCACGTTTAAAAGCCCCCTGGAAGTCTTTGCAAAGGTGGAAGACTACTCCGGGCTGGGCTCCGGGCAGAACCACTTCATCAGGGACAGCCAGTGGGAGCAGCACGCAGAGCGCGTCCATGCCTGCTACAAGAAGAACCTGGACAGGGAGTTGGGGGAGGAGCCCCTCAGGTGAGCCCCCGCACACACGGGGAGGAACTCCAAGACCAGGGTCAGGCCCAATCTGGAAGGTTTTTCTGGGTTGGGGAAATTTTTAGAGAACTTCAGCAGAGATTTTTGAGATGTTGTGTGAAGATTGTGTAAGTACAGAAGCTGAAAACATGGGGCTGGGGAGGTAGCTTGGCAGTCTAAGCACCTGCCTAGCAAGTGCAAAGACCTGTTTGATCCCCAGTACTGCATCCCATGCTGGCCCTGGAGTCCCAGGCACACCCAGCTGGCCCGAAACTGGGCATGGTGGCACACACCTGCAGTCCCAGCACAGGGGAGGCGGAGGCAGGAGGGCCACTATGAGTCTGAACTGCATAGTGAGACCCTGTATCAAATAAATAAATAAATAAATAAATAAATAAATAAATAAATGCTGAGAACATGGATTGAAAAGGAATAGCTGAGGGTACAGCTCAGTGACAAAGCACTTGCCTGGAATGCATGAGGTCATATATTTGATACCTACCACTGGGGAGAAAATATATAGCTATGGAAATGAGAAATAGAGTTTATTTTATAGTTTATGTAGGACATCTCTTTAAAATTTTTCCCTGATTTTCTAAAAAACAGAACATTCTAAAAGTGGAAATAAAAGTCATCACTATTAATATTTCTATTTCCTTTCTGCCTTTCTAAATGTAATATAGATATATATTATAATACATTACTGCTTACTTTTTTTTTCCAGTATTGAGATCAAACACAGGGCCTCGTGCCTGCTAGGCAAGCGCTGTATCACAGAGCCACGTTTCTGCCTCCTTTGTTTTATTCTGAGACAGAATCATGCTGAGTTGCCCAGGCTGGCCTTGAGCTTGCACTCCTGGTGCCCCAGACTCTCAGCTGGGATTACAGACATAACTTCTTCTATTATAATAAACACATCAGCCTGATAGCTCCGCAGGCTAAAGCACCTGCTTCAGGAGAGCACAGTGGCCAGGGTTCGATCCCCAACGTGCTGTGCGGGCCCCGCCCCCAGGGCACGCTGAGAGGGTGATTGAGCCTGAGCGTGGTGGCACGCACCTATAATCCCAGCTGTTGGGAAGCTGAGAACAGGAGAATCACTACAAGTCTGATCTGTGTAGTGAGACCCTGTAGGCCCTGTAGGCCCTGTCCTAAATACAGAAAATAAATAAATAAATACACATCAATCATCAGCTGGGCCTCAGTAACCCATGCTGTGATGGCAAAAACTATGCCCAATCTTGGGAATATCTGTGGTGGACATGGTTTTCTGAAGAAATTCTCCTGTCTCTTTCTGGTCCAAAACCAAGGCCCACCCCCTAGACCCTAGCCGAGGCCCCTCCTGGCGAGGAGCCTGACCACAGCTCTTTGCTTCCCAGCACCGCCACGTTCCACTTCCTCCTTCCTAGCTGCATCACCACGACGCCAGTGGAAGCCAGGAGCCCCGCAGGTAAGCGCGCCTGCCCAGACAGTTGTCCTGGGCAGGGAGTCACCTCAGGGAGAAAGACCCCAAGCTGCCTTCCTGAGAGATGACTCTGGCCAGCCCCGCTGGAAGGAGGGGGTGGGTGTGGACATGAGGTCACCAGCAGTGGCTTAACCGTCACCATTTGGATCTGTGCCTGAGCCAGAGTCCCTGATAGTAAAACCTGGCATCATCTTTGGGGCGCAGCCCTGGGGGTGCCTGCTCCCCGTGCCAGAAATGCACTGGCTCAATGGGCAGCTTTCAGCTTCTAGCTGCTGCTGCTTGAGCCCATTCCTTCCATGTGGCCTGAAGGCTACCCAGATGTGTCATATCACACTACTCTTCTCTTCTCCAGGGGTGGCCTATGTCCTGGGCATCCACTGGACCGGAAGCCACAACTTCTTCTTCTATTTGCTGAACCGAACTCTGAAGGACAAAGCCGGTACTTTTCCCTGCGGCGAGAGGTGCCTGAGCTCAGGGCTGAGGACAGGGTCTCCCAGCTGCACTGAGGGCGTGACTGAGATGTAGCACTGTCCCTTCCAGCAGCTAGAGCTGGGCAGGCAGCAGTGGGCGCTCCACAGCTGGGCGTGGCCTCACAATCTGTCCTGAACTAACATGACAGGCCAAGGACAAAGCCTCGTCAGGTCCTCAGGGCCATGAAGCAGCTAAGGTGACGGTAGTGGGAGGAGGGCCCTACCTGACTGGCTGTGCAGGGGCCACAGCTGTGCTTCTCACCAGCCTGGCTCCTTGCCTGGAACACAGAGCTAAATAGTTGGCCACACTCCGCTGTGAAGTGGAGAGAGCAGGGTTTCCCTGTGTGAAGCCCTTTGTATGGAGGGGGACCAAGAAATGTGGGTGCTTTGCTTTCCTCTGTTCACTCAACAGACACATACCATGTCAAGGCCTGGCACTGTGCACTTAGTGAACTTCAGTGTTGTACCCCAAAAGTCATGGTACATATTTGCAAAGAAAGAATTTCCTTTCTTCTGCCCATTCCAGACAGCCTGGCTCCTACTCTCCACTGTTCCACTGACTGGCCTTGTGGCCTTGGGCAAGTGGCTTCCTGCCCTGCCTCAGTCTCCCCATCTGTAAAATGGGGCGAGGAGTACTAACTTAATAGAAACCTTTCAGGAACTAAACTGAATGGGACCTGCAGAGCACCTGGCACTGTGTCTTGAGCCTGGAAAATGGTTTGCCCCGTCCTGAGGAGGGCAGGCGGCACTCCGGGAGATCCCCGAGGTGGCCAGCACATGCAGACAGGACTCCTGGCGCCTGCTGGGTTACAGGTCATTGGTGGTAGGCAGGTCTTGGAGCAGCTGGTAAGCAGCATCTTCCCCGCAGAACCTGAGGGCGTGTGGCCCTGTGCTGCCCCCATCACTGCCTCGTGGCTCAGCTGCTCCTCTTCCTACCTGGTGCTGGCCTGCGAGGACGGCGTGCTCACACTGTGGGACGTGGCCGAAGGTGAGCCTTCTCCCTCTCCAGCCCCTGCTGGTCTCTGGCTGTGGCACTGGAGCAGGCCTTGGGAATTGATCTCTCAAAGCCCCACCCAGGAGCACATGAGGCTTTGGGGGTCACCCCGATATAAACCATAACAAACACTTTCTGAACATAATAACAAGTGCTGGTGCTCGCCACTGCCAAGTCCTAGCGTGTGTGTGCCGTGTGCGCGGTGCTGTACCAGCTGCGGAGAGCCAGCACTGCCCTTCCGATGACGCCCCTGCCCTCTGCCTCCGGCCCTCGGCTTGCAAGCCGAGCGAGTTTTCTTCCTCTTTCTACCCGCTCAGTCAGTGGCAGGAGTTCCCTGGCGCAGAGCAGCCAGCCGACAGCAGCTGGAGTTGGTGGCGCCCTTTGCAGGTGTCAGAGTCGGTGGCATTTCATTCCCTGAAGCGGTGGGGTCCCGCCCACCAGGCCTGCAAAGGCCCCTTCCCCCTGGTTTGCTTTCCTGCCGCCCACGCCCCTCACACAGCTTCCTTTCGTCTTTCTGGGAGCCGGCGAATCTTGTTTGCCAGCATTCGTGTACACCTCCTCCTCTAAAAGCCGCAGCGGCCGCACCCCTTCACTGGCCCAGCCCGGCCGCACCCCTTCACTGGCCCAGCCCGCCCCCACCACCCACGGGCTCGGCGCCCTCTCAGCCCCTGCCCAGCTCCTCCTTAGAGCTCGCTGGGGGCTGAGACTGGGTTTCGTGGCACACGCCCCCGTCGCTTGGCTCAGCCCTCTCCCGGCTCCTCACCACTCCCCGACCACAGAGCCACCAGCCTGACCAGCCCATGTGATTTCTTCCTGCAGGCTTCCCCCTAGGGGTCATCGCCCTTCCTGAGGGGTGTTTCTGCCAAAGCATTCACTTTCTAAAGTACTTCTTGGTCCACAAGGGCCAGAACCTGTATCCAGAGGGCCCAGTCAAGTCCCAGGTGCAATGCGTGGTGCTGTGCACCAATGCGTCCCTCCATCTGGTGACAGCCAGCGGCACAAGGGGACCCACCAGCCAGGTGCTTGTGACCAGGTAGGTGGCCTGTGGAGGAGACATACGATGCTACTCCACTGCAAAGACGAGCAGCCCCCGTGGTCCCCACTGTCCTGCGGGCTGCTGCCATCACTGCGTCATGTGTGGATGACACATTTTCTAACACTGTATCCTCCATGTGCCATGGGACAGAGAGACGCACGCCTACAAACATAACCTTTAATCATTCTCCCAAGATCGCTCCCTTTTTAATATTTAAAAAGACTTTATGGGGCCGGGGAGATATCTCAGCGGCATAAGTTCCTGCCTGGCAAGCACAAGGTCTGAGTTTGATCTCTGGTACCGCAGGGGGGGAAAAAAAAGACTTTATGCTTGCAGTCAGTCTATATCATGTGCGTGTGTGAAAGGAATAATCGGCTGAACGAAACGCCCTTGCCCACTGGAAACCGATCCTCTCTAGTTCCATCGAGGCCCTCCATGTCCCTCCCCTCGCCTCAGCCTCCTCGCTCCTCCCACATGGTGCTAATCTATCACTACAGAACCCAAGCACCCCAAAACTCGGTGGGTTAAGAAAGCAGGAACCCAGCCGCGATTCCACAAGTCCACAGCTCTGCTCTCCCCTCCACCTGCAGGGCTGTCAGGCTGTGCTCACCCATGCACCAGCAGGGGGCGCCAGAGCGCTGTTCCTCTGGCCTCACCACCCCTGGACTTACACTGCCAGGCTAGGTGTGCCCTGCAGCAAAGGAGGGGCAGCCCCCCACCCCTAGCGCAGGTGCTTTTCCAGCCTTTGTTCAGGTGACAACTGCTATGGTCCCACGTGGCCAGGAGTCACCAGTGTCCCCACAAGCAATGGCGAAGTGGACTGCTCCTGTAGATGGAAGTCACTGACCAGTATGGCCAATGTTTTTTCAATCTATCACATCATTTTCCTAAATGCATCATCTCTTTTTATTTCCTTTTAAGAATGAATCCCATATATGCGCCTGTGTCTCGAAACAGCATATTATTGAGCCCTGCATACTTAGGCAACTTGTAAATGAAAGCTTGCTCTCCCTACATAGCCTCCAGCTTGCCAGCATGGCTATTGTAACTTGCTTTGCAACACGGTACGAGAGTCATAGGTATTGCTGCTTGAGAGGGTCTTTCATTTTCATTGCATCATATGCCACAGCCACTAGGAGGAAGGTGCTGAAGTGGTCACTAGCTTTTGCCACATATCTCCTGAGGTACCTGCCCGGACTTTCCCTAGGTTGCATCCCAGGAGAGAAGGGTAAAATTTTGAAAATTCAGACGAGCAAATGTGTGTTTTGTGTCCTGCAGGCCCGTGAAGCATCTGGATGAAGCCATCTGTGCAGTGGCCCCAGTCCCCACCTTGCCCGGCATGGTAGGTGCCACAAGCCTCTCGTTCCTCTTCTGCAGATGTGTTCCCATTTTTCCTTCAAAATATACTCATGCATTGGTCCCGGATGTAGCTCAGTGGTAAAGCACTTGCCTAGCACACACAAGGGGTGGATTTGGCCCTAGCACTGTAAAGAAAAAAAAAGATCCGTTGGCAGCCCGCTGTGCACTGGGTACAGGAGAGACTATGGGAGCAGACTGAAAGGACGAGGCCCCAGGCAGGGTGCAGCTCATGGGAGGAGCCTCGGTTCAATCCCCAGCTACAAAAACCAACTGAAAGATCAAGTCCCCCGTGCATGGAGCTCATTGCAGAGAGACAGACCTGGCAGTCGGGAGCTACCCTAGGACCCAGGAAAGTCTGCATCCAGGTTCTGAAACAGAGATGTGGGCCAGAGAAGGTCCCCAGAGGTTGGCATGGGAGGAAAATGTGACAGGAAGTGACAGCTGGGCTTCACCAGGGAGCCTAAGAGCTTGAAGAAGGCAGGGACACAGAGGGACGTTCAGGCTGCTCAGCATCAGGCCTCTAGGGTGTGGAGCTCAAGGGGCAACGCAGGGGTACAGGGGGTGCAGAAGGACCAGCTTCAGAAGGTGTGTGAACAGGGCTGGAGAGTGGGGTGATGGGCACTGTGGGGAGACAGACCCATGAGAGGGAGGTGCGGTGCTGATCCCTAGATGACTGTGGAGGCTGTGGTCCTGGTGTGGTCCTGTAGGCAGCCAGGCCTGGAGGACACCAGGGGCAGGTCCAAGGCAGCCTGGGATGAGACTGTCCATCAGACCTCACCAGCCAGTTAGCTAGGGGGATGTGGGAGAGTCGGGTGCCTGGGGGTCTCCTAGTCATGAGGTGAGTAGAGAGGGCAGAGGTTCTCTGCCATCACTTACGGGACAAGAACATGGGCTCACAGAGGAGCTGAGAGGGACCCCAGGACAGTCCCGAGGGTCCCATGTAGAACCGCGTACCTTCTTGGACCCTCAAGTGTCCCTTCCTGAGGTGACAGGAGCTGGGAGTTCTGGAGAGTGACATGGCTGGCTGTGTGAGGGACAGGAAGTGCTATGGCAGCAGCAGAGTCCCAGGGTCCCAGAAAGGACAGAGCCTGGCAGGAGAAACCACTCAGGTCCTAGGCAGGGGACACAGGCTAAGGGGTGTCAGGTGCCCAGGCGCCCAACACAAGGAGCAGGGGAGACCTGGGGGAGAAGCCAGCCCTGCACCAGGCAGGAAGGTCAGCACGGTTGTGTCCCCAGTGTCTGGGAGGGACCCCAGGTCTGGCCATGTAAGAGCCCAGACATTCCCTGCACCTGTGTTGTATGTCCAGCTGCTTCTGTCACTCTGGCTGGGATGGCCTCTGTGCCCTGCCGTCCATGGGACACCAAGACGAGGAGGGTCCCCACTCCCTACTGCTCCGTGTCCCAGGTGCTGATCTTTGCCAGGAATGGCTCTGTGAGCCTCATGGACGTGACCAAGGCCGAAATCATCTGTGCCTTCGCTCTGCCTGCAGGCCCGCAGCTGGCCGTGCCCGGGAAGCCCCTGTTTGTTGTGTCTTTACAGCACCCTTGCTTCCTGCTCCTCGGTGAGGAGGGAGAGTGGGGCCCGCCCAGCCCAAGGACAGCCCTCTGTGAAGCAAGTGACCACAGGTCCCCTTCCCCACGCCCTCTCCCCAAGTGCCACAGGATGCCCACCCAGACCTAATCTGGCTGACCCTGGCCAGGAGTCTCTGAAGGAAGGCTGGCATGGTCTCCCTGGAGTCGCCCCAGCCCACTGCCCTCCCCACCCCTGCCCGCAGCCCTCAGCCCTTGGGCCTCAGATGCTCAGTGACAGATGGGGCTCTTGTTCCTCACAGGTGACTGTTCAGGTAAAGAGAAGCCCACCAGCAATGCCAAGAACACTTGGAATTCTGTTTTCTGTTTTAATTTTGAGGCCTACCCACTGCTGGAAAATATCTCCAAAAATCCCACCATTCCCCAAGAGGACTCAAGGGAGAACATGGTGTTGCCGTTGGAGAAAAGATGTGAGCTTGTGCTCCAGAAGAGGTAAGGGCTTCGGGGTCTGGCTCCTCATAGGACCTGGGCTTGCGTCTGGGGTGAAGACAGAGGAGTTTGCCATACGGTCCCTTGGGCATTTCGCTGCCCACCCCCAGGCACCACAGTTGGTACACAGGGGAGAGAAAAGAGTAATTCAGGATGGCAGGAAGGGAAGGCTTCGGCTGAAGCCAGATGTCTTTTCCTGTGAGCATCTTTTCTTTATTTTCTCAACTTGTTTTTTTCAAAAGCACATTTGGATTTTTAGGCAGGGGTTAGGACAGGGTAAACTAGGATCATATATGAGCCACTGCCGCTTTTTTGGTGTGTGTGTGTGTGTTGTGTGTGTGTGTGTGTGTGTGTGTGTGTGTGTGTAGTACCGGGGATCGAGCTCATGACCTTGCACTTGCCAGGCAGATGCTTATGCCACTGAGCTATCTCCCTGGCCCAACTGTCCAGTTTTGAAAATAAGGTTGTTTGGGGTTGGTTTTAGTTCTGGGGAGAGACTTACCACACTGGATGCATACTGGGAAGGTTAATTTGAATCCTTAATCTCCCAAGATAAACTAACACAGAGCTATTGATTTTCACTCCTGCTTCCACTGCCTGCTAGGTGTGTCAGTGCTGTCCTGTAAGCCCAGCACTCACGAGGCTGAGGCAGGGGAACTGCTGTGAGTTCAAGGCCAGCTTGGGCTACAGAATGAGTTTAAGATCCCCCTAAATTACAGAGGAAGACCTTGTCTCAAAAAAGCAAAAAACCACTTGGGAGGCTGAGGCAGGACTGCCATGAGCAGGCCAGCCTGGGCTGCATAAGTGAGTTCAAAGCCAGTCTGCACCACATAGCAAAACCTCATCTCTAGCCACCCCCAACAAAAGAAATCAAAACAAGCCTGGGGGAATTCTGGACACTACCACTAGGCGGCACCACAGTGTATTCTTGCTTCTCAGCTCTGGCGTTTAACCTGTCACCTATCCCTTTATTCCTTCCTCCTTTCCTCTGCCCTTTCTTTTCCTTCAGGTGGGGAGGGGTGCTGGGGATGGAAGCCAGGCTCTGAGCACACTAAGAAAGCGCTCATCCCCTGAGCTGCACCCAGCTCCCAGCCACTACAGTTATGCCCTTCCTACGTGGTGCCAGGCAGAGGGCAGAACATCAGAAGTCTGGTGGCAGAGGGATGGTGAAAGAGACCCTTGACGTGGCCCCTGCTGGAGCTTTATGGACAAAGCTGGCTATTCTTCACATGGGGACTTGTGATTCTAGCCCCTGATGATTTGCTCTTAGGAGACACAGCTGAAGAATTTAGGGGGAAAGTGTCATAACATCTACCACTTCCTTTCAAGTGGCCTGGGAAAATGTTTATAGACAGACACTGTTAAAACTTTAGCAGGGCCAGGGATATAGCTCGGTGGCCCAGTGCCTGCCTGGCAAGTACAAGGTCCTGAGTTCAACTCCTAGTACCAATAAATAATAAATAAAATGTTACTAGATGGTAAAATTTAGGAAAATGTTTATGCAGTGAGAAAGACAGGGAGATGAAACATAAACAACTGGAAATCTAGGTGAAGGTTCATTTTTATAGGTTTGAAACTATGCCGGCTGGGGGCCGGGGAGATGGCTCAATGGAATAACCGCTTGCTTTGCAAGAACAAGGGCCTGAGTTCAATCCCTGGTTCCAACAAAAAAGTTTTTTAAAAAAAAATCCCCAAAATATGCCAGCTGTGGTGGCTCACACCTGTAATCCTAGCACTCAGGAAGGATTATAGCACTTGAGGCAGGAGGATCCTTGGGAGTTCAGAGCCATCCTGGGCTACAAAGTGAGCTCAATGCCAGCCTGAAACTCATAGTGAGACCCTGTCTCAAAAAAAAAAAAAAGAAAGGAAACTTAAGTAACCCATAATCCTACCATTAGAAACCACCAGCAGGGCTGGCCAGATAGCTCAGTGGACTAAAGTGCCTGCTTAGGCAAAGTGCAGGGGCTGGGGTTCGATCCCCTGCACCACAAGCTGTGCTGACCCCATACCTGGGGCACCCTGAGGAGGCAATTGAGACTGGGCGTGGCAGCACACACCTGTAATCCCAGCGCTTGAAAGGCTGAAAACAGGAAGATCACTACGAGTCCAGTCTATGTAGTGAGACCCTGTAGATCCTGTACTAAATACATAAAAAGAAAAAAATAAACCACCAGCAATCTGACTTTATATCACTCTAGAATATAATTTCATGGGGTTTTTTTTTTTTAGAAAATCACCTTTGTTGTTTGTCAGCTCCCTGTCCCTCTAAGGAAATACCTGAGATAATAAATGTATAACCTGAAAGGTTGGCTGGAGATTTCCGTGGGGTGGACAGGGCCATTGCTTCAGGCTTTCGGGGGGAGCACACTGCCCTGGGGAACTTGTGGCATTCAGAGACCATTCTCCGCAAGACCTGGATGGGCCTGAGCAGTGACCTCAGGACCTCCCTCTGGGCCACTGTCTCAGTTACTGTTCTCTTGTTGCTGGGACAAAATACCCAACACCCAAAATGAAGGAAGGAAAGGTTTATTTAGCTCACAGTCAGTAGAGGTCTCAGTCCATACCCAGCTGGCTCCAAGGCAGAGTGGCACATGGCATAGGGCAACCTTTCACAGTGGTGGCAAAGAGCAGAGAGAAAGGGAGTGGCAGCAGCTCAGGCAGCTGGCCAGCCTCTGTTCCCTCCTTACATTGTAAAGCAGAGTATCTGCCCCAAGGCACTTACGCCCTTAATCCCAGCATTGGATCATGAATCAATTACAAACTCCAGAAGCCACCCCAGGACTACATAAGGCCTTCAGGGGACATGTAGAGGCAAGCCGTAACAGCCACATGTTCAGAAGTTCCCATGGCTCTCCAGTTTCAGCATTCAAAAGCCAGCCTTTATAAATACTGGCTTGGGTTTGGGTCTCCGGTGGTACTAGGGGTTGAGCCCAGGGCCTTTGGGTTCAGCTACCTCCCCAGCCTCTACCACTTTTTTTTTTTTTTGAGACATGGTCTCCCCTAGTTGCCCAGGCTGGGCTCAAACTTGCAACCCTTCTGCCTCAGCCTCCCAGCATGCTGGGACACCAGTTGTGCACCACGCCCCTCAGTGAGTGTTATGTTATATATCGTGTATAACCTGCATCACTCCCCGACTGGGCTGTCCCAGTAAGGAGACTGCCTTCTCAGACTCCCACTCTCTGACCCACCAAGGCCCATCCTGGCCCCCACAGGGAATGGAAGGGACTCTTCCAGCTCACCTGTCCCAGAAGAGGTCACTGTAGCTGGGCAGGCTGGAGCAGATGGACATGGGGCCCATGGCACATGGGCAAGCTGAGGGCTGGCAGGGATCTGCCTGGTTAGGGTCAGGTCCGGCTTCCTGCTCACCGGAGACATCACATTTTCTTGGTCGCCAGGAAATGTTTGAATGACACTTTCTAGTTTGGGTCCTACAAATAAATCAGGAAAGAATGGATTCTAAGAGGGCCTCTCCTATCCGGCTTGCTCTGAGGCCTGGTGTCTGTGGTCTTCCCAGGTATTACTAACAGGACATGATAAATGGTCCTGCCAGGCAGCAGTTCTGAGAACCACTGTGTTAACTTTTGATCCCCCCATACCTGTCCAAAGCCTTTAATTCTTGGCTCTTACTTTATTTTTTCCTGTTTACCCGTGTCTGAAATTAGTTGTAGCAACAGAGTCAAAGTTTCAAGCTTGCAATAGCCTGTCCACACTGTCTACACAAATCTGCACCAGAACTTCGGTGACCAGCCCGTGAGAAGCACAGCTGCCTCCCCGGAGGCCCCAAGTGCCAGCTGTCACCCCACACTCCTGCTAACCCCAGCCCCGTGGGCCTGGACTCCTTGGCCTCTGACTCGGTCAATGTTTTTTCTGTATTGGAGATTGAGTCCAGGGCCTTTGCACTGAGCTACACCCCCCTTTTGTAAATTTTGAGACAGGGTCTTCCTAAGTCACTAAGTTTCCCAGGCTGGGCTGGCATTGCAGATCCCCTGCCTCACCTTCCCAGCTTCACCACAGTGCCCAGCCCTGGTGAGACTTCTGACACAGCGAGACAGAGCAGAAAGGAGAACAGGGAGCTGGCAGAAGCAAAGCGCCTCCTCATATTCTGTGTGGAATATAATAAGCCCAGCAAGATGCAGGGTCTCCCACCTCACTTCCTGCCAGCAGGGGATCCAGGGTGACGCAGCAATCCCCACCACACAGCACACAGCTCCCTTGTCGAAGGCAGCAAGCCCTGCGTGACAACAGGTGACATCTTCATCCACGGGGAAGAGGGAAGAGTAGGTAGGGTTGAGACACTCTCCTGACCAACCCATGGAGCTAAACTTGGGCCCTGTCCCGACTGCTCTGTGGCTCTTGAGACCCAAGGCATGACCCTCTCCCAGAGTGGCCACAGCAGGCAGACCTGGAGGGCTCTAGGGAGACTACAGGTGTGCCCCTCCCTCCCACCAGCCCAGGGTCACGATCTACGGAATCTGCACACACTTTGCACCACCGTCCCAGCACAAGAGAAGGCACTGGAAGGGTGCTGGACCCTGGGGCCCAAAGACCTTGAGGACGGACAGTGGGGAGGTGTTGCTTCCCTAACCCCCTTGTCATCCCCCACCATCCAGGGCCTCCCTACACAGGCTGTGGAAGCAGGCATGAAAATCAGTAGCTCTGTGTTAGTTTGGCTTGGAGATGAGGGATTCAAATTAATCTTTTTTTTTTCTTGGAAATGAATTATAAGTTGAACTAAATTCAGAAATTTTAAATCTTTTTAAAAAATGCTTGAAATTATTGTTTGAAGCAAAGTACAATTCCCCTATGATGAATGCTATCACTATGTATATATAAAATGTACCAATAAAAAAATTCAAGGAAAAAAAATTAACCTTTTGAAGGACTGGCCAGATAGCTCAGCAGACTGAAGCGCCTGTTTAGGCAGATGTAGGGACCAGGGTTCCATCCCCTGCGTGCTGTGCAGGCCCCTTTCCCGGGTCACGCTGAGATGGTGACTGAGACTGGGCGTGGTGGCCCGCGCCTATAATCCCAGCTATTGAGAGGCTGAAAACAGGCAGATCACCAGGAGTCCGAGTCAGATCCGTGTATAGACCCCGTACTAAATACATTAGAAAACAAACAAACCAACGAACAAATTAACCTTTCAGGTATGCATCCAGCTTGGTAAATCTCTCTTCTGCGACTGGCCCAGGGTTTTCTTCTGCAACGTCCTCCTCTTCCGAAAGTTTTTTCAGTGCTGTAGAGAGTATTATTCTGCTTGGGCTTTGCATTGAAATCATTTGGAATGTTTGTTTAGCCAGACAGAAGTGTTCAGTGTCTCCTAGCTGGACCTCCGCAGCGGCTGGGCTGAGCGTCGGAGCAGGAACAGGAGCGTAGCTGGCTCCGCAAAGGGCTCCGGGAGGCAGGTGGAGGGCCTGGCTCTAGCGCCCTCTAGCGGTGCCTCGGGCGAAGACCGCTGCCTTTTGCTAAGGATACCCTGTCAGGGGCAGCGGCCCTTTATTGCTGGAGCCACAGGGAAAGCCCTCCTGGCCTCGAGCATCCAGCTTCAGGAATCACCGTGTCTTCCATGAGCTGTCCACGGTTGTTTTTAGTCTCTAGTTTCTTCTATCCAGCTGCCTCGAGCAGGGTCATTCACGGATGGGACGTTGTCCTGACCCCCTGGTCCAAGTTCCACTTCCATGTATTTGTCAGCACCGGCACGGTGCTACTATAATTAGTTAGGCTGTGCTGTGCACTTACTGTGCGCCGGGTGCCATGTTACGTGCTCTGCAGGATCGTGGTGAGGACCGACGGAACAGGATCAGATTCACTTTGAACTCCCTCTAGCCCCTGCTGACTTCAAGCTCACGGTCCTCCTGCCTTAGCCTCCCAAATGCTACGATTTTAGGTATACGGCGGCAGCTGCAGAAAGCTGAGGCTTACAGGATCCATCCCAGGAGGCCAGCTACTATGTTTGTGCCCAGGCTGGTCTCCTCCTGCCTCAGCCTCTCAGGTGCTGAGGTCACAGGTGTGCGCCACCATGCCCAGCCTAGATTACTTTCCAAGTTAGAATTTCCTTGTGTCCCTGAACATGTCCCACATGCAGTCTCAAAAAGCATCCAAAACACAACCTCTGCCTTTCTCCTCAAAGTGTCCCTCTTGCTGCTTGGCCTGATCTATACTGTCACCCAGGGTGGAGCCAGGGCAGTGAACCCCAGCCCTCTCTCCACACCCCTCACACCCTCAGCCCCCACTGACCATGCCCATCCACATACACAGTGAGATGCAATCCTGGTTTAGTCTGTGCCAAACATGCTTTTATTTGGTATCTTTAAGCTCCTGTTTATAAAAGATAGAACCCAAAGATTTCAGATAAGTGGTCTGTGGTCCTTGTCCCTCACCACTGGCCTTATAATGCCCTTGGGATCTGTTCTGTGCTAGCGAAGGAGGGTCAGAATCTCCTTTTTGAAGGCTAAGTAATACTCTACCACCTGTTCGCACACAGGCCTTTCTTCCCAGTCCCAGCCCCCCATCCATTCACACATTCCGGTGTGTTGTTCCCAGCAAAGGGTGCTGGGTGCCACTGTGCCTGACTGGTCCTGAGACACACATTGTCACTTCACTTTCTTTCTGAGCACAGTGTGGCCCAGGTCTGCCCCAGGTTGGGGAGCAGGAGATGGGGAGGCATCTCTCATCTCTGGTTTTGTGGCCCTCAGCTTCCAGAAGCTGAAGAGACCCCAGGTGACAAAAGACCAGGAGTGGACCAGGCTTCGCAGGTACTCCCTGCTGCTTCAGAGAGATAACTTCAGGAAGTGACAGCGACATGGCCACCATGGGACTCTGGAGAGCCTCTGCCTGGGTAGCCACTCCCAGAATGAGGGACACAGCGACAAACAGCCCCAGCCCCAAGGCCGTGGGTTTGCAGTCCCTGGAGCCAGCGAAAGGAACCGTACCTCGGGGACTCTCTGACACCAAGCGTCTTGTCAGTGCGGGCAGAGGGCAATGTGCCACCCCAATAAATAGCCACTGTCTTTAGACTGCGAGTTACTGTGCCCAGACCCAGCAGGGAGGACCCCTGGCCTCGGAGGCCGTGGACAACCCCACCAGCCCAGCCCCTTCTTCTCCTCCTGCTTCTCCCCCGCCCCGCCAGCTCCTGCCGTTGGCAGCCATCAGCGCGGGCTGGGGTGTGGCTCCCGGCTGAGCCTGCACCAGGTCCTGGGTTTCATCTCCAGCACCACCAAGGAAGAGAGAGCAGCTGGGAAGCGAAGAATCACTGGTGAGAGGACAGCTTTGGGCCACCTGGGTGCTGTGGCCTGTAGGACTTGGATGTTGCCCACTGGCCCAGAAACCTAGAGGAGGCTGGGGTTCTGGAGACCCTCACTTCTAGAAACTGCCCCTCCCAATGAAACCTGTCATCCCAGCACTCAGGAGGCTGAGGCAGGAGGATCATTGCAAATTGGGGGCCAGCCTGGGCTACACAGAGAGTTCAAGGCCAGTCTAGACTTACATAAGGAGACCTGTCTCGAAGGAGAAGGAGAAGAAAGGGACAGGGAGAAGCAGCATAATCACCTGCCTGGCAAGAGCAAGGTCCTAAGTTAGATCCCCAGTACAAAAAAAAAAAAAAAAAAGGAAGAAGAGGAAAAAGAAAAAAACAACAAAACAAACAAAAAACCAGGGAAACTGGGCAGAGGGCCTCCAGCCCCTGAAGGACAGGCCCGCCTCTCTGAGGACACCTCGTGGTTCCCTTGAGAACTGCAGACGGTTGTGGCTCAGCTTCCCACCTGTCCCATGCTACCCCCCCCCCAGCCGGCTGTGTCATTTCTCCCCTGCTGGCTGCATACTGTGCCCCTCACTGGCCTGACACCTCACTTGAGGCAGTGATAGTGTCTGGCTAAATGTCCCCAGATGAAGAGATCCCCACCTACGACCCTTTCCCCTTGGAGTCCCAGGATATGGATATAGGGCCAAGACAGCTCTTTCCTTCGTGTGGCAGGATCCTGGCAGCCCCTTTTGCAAGATGAGGCAGGCGACCTTGGGAAGGTGGCCTTGGCCTCACCTGGTGTCTGAAGGCCATGGGGACCAAAGTTCACATAGTGCAGGAGCCTCATGCAGTAGAGACGTTATTATCCCTGTTTCACAGAGAGATGGAGACTCGGTTACACAACTTGGAGCAGACTAAGAACTATCTTGATGGGCTAGCTCAATGGGAGGGGGAAGATGGCTCAGTGGAATAAGTGCTTTCCTGGCAAGCGCAAGGGCCTAAGTTCAATCCCTGGTTCAGCAGGGCTAGAATGTCCCCTTGTGTCTCAGTTTGTCTGCCAGGCCCCTGTGACCACCTGGCACCGCAGAGCACACAGCACCTCTCACTGGCTGCAGGCTCATGGCTCATCTGTCCCTGGAGGAGGAAGGGAAAGTCGTGTCTCCACTCTAAGATCATAGGGAGGGGCTGGTGAGATGGCTCAGTGGTCTAAAGCACCTACTTAGAACAAGCTTAGCAAAGCACAGGGACTGCGGTTCAGTCCCCAGCACCACATGCCAGCCAGCCCTGCCCCCTGGTGGGCTGAGCTGGACATGAGCTGGACATACACACACATAAATAAATAAAATTAAAAAAAAAAAGATCATAGGGAAAAAATGAAGAAAGGGTGACGCAAGCTGTCAGGGAAGAAGGCCGGAGACCGCTAGGCTCTGCCGACCCTGCACTAGGCTGAGGATGCAGCCAGCCCTGACCGGGGAGGGTCTCTCGCTCCACGCCAGCCTTCTTCTGTAATCGCCTGGTTGGGAGACCCAGAAGGAGACACCTGCATTCCCAAGGAGCCTTGTGTGCCAGATCCAGAGAGGAAGGAGAAAAGGACCCAGGGCCTGGCAAAGCTCCTGTAGGCTGGCGATGCCCAGGTGGGGGGCTGGGGCTGTGCCATCCTCTGGGCCAGTGCCCTTGCCCCTCCTTGCCCTTTGGAAGGTTAGAAATCTTATGTCCCTGCCCAGGCCCCACCTGCTCCAGGGATGTTGCCATCTGCCGATGTGGACAGCTGTTGGCCGCCACCCCTCTGGCTTTGTCCCTCGCTCAGATGGGGACCTTGCTATGTGCTGGGAGAATCTGCCTGAGCACACTGCGGCCAAGCTGCGGATCCCTCCTCAGCATCCACAGTGCATGGCTACGCACACATGCCCCGTGCGCATGTGCACACACTTGCCTGGCAGGCCACGCCGGGATTAGCTGATCACCTGCCTAGCAGCTCCACCCCAGTGGCAACAAACTGCCTCTGTAGACAAGTACAGGGACACTGGCTGCACAACTTGACGGCAGCTGGGTTAGCAGCAGAGCACACAGCCAGGCCGGGGCAACTGCTCCTCCGCTGTCAGGGGTCTTTGTGGACCAGCTCAGACTAGGAGACCGGGCAGCTGCCGGCCCTGCCTGACAGCCAACTCATCCCGACCAGGCACACCGCCCTGTGCCCACATAATCATTGTGCCCGCCTTCCAGCAGACCTAACCCAGGTGGCTCCAGAGGGGGCACCCGCCCTGTGCCACCTACCACTCCGTGCTGACCCCAGCCCGCACTCAGCTGAGGCAGAGCACCCAGAGTAGAGCACACAGCTCTGGGGTTGCCTAGCTCTAGTGGAGGTGCTGTCACCCAGGGACTGAACCCTGGGCCTTCCTAGTGAGCTACATCCCCATCCCACCCCCTTTATAAAATTTTTTTTGAGACAAGTTCTCACTAAATTGCCCAGCCTGGGCTCCAATTTGCAGTCGTCCTGCCTCAACCTCCAGAGTGCTGGAATTACAGGTGTACACCACCACTTGCCCATCCATCCTAAACATGACCCTAGGGTACCTCACAAGTCGCCTGAGAATGGGGTGCAGCTTCTGTCATCCTCACTGGGGATGGTACACAGCGTCTCCTCCAGAGGCAGATGGGGGGGCCGGAAGAGGGCAGGGGCAGGAGCAGCAGGAGGGAGGCAAACCCTTCCTATCTAGTCCCGTCTCCGTCTCCAGCTATTAGCAGGGATGTGCTAATGAAACTTCACACCCAGGCGCCAGTACCCTGGGCACAGTGCAAGAGGAGCAGCCCTGGGGGAGGGGGCTGCCGACCAGCCCCACCTATCTGTGAAAAGACTTGCTAATAACTTTAATTCCCCATCCTGAGTGGTCAGGCCTTTGCTATGCAAATAGACTTTGTAAACAAGGTGGACTTCAGCAGGGTAGAAGACTTCAGGCTCTACCCTAGTTAGGGTTCTAGGAGGGGAAGTGTGGCAGAGGGGCATCACGAGTCTCCCGAGTTGCTGCAGGGCTCAGCTGTGGTTTCCACTCTTCAGCCAAAACCATCCAGGTGTGCTCAGCTCAGGCCTGAACCCCTGCCCCTGTCTGCATCACTGCCCCTCCTGGCTGGCCTGAGCCCTGGAAAAGCTTTCCGAAACAAAAACAAAGGCGCACGTCTGTAATCCCAGCACTTGGCTGAGGCAGGAGGAGCGCAGGCTGGCTACATAGTGAGTTCAAGGCCAGCTTGGACTGCATAAGAAGACTCTGTCTCCAGAAACAAAAACAAAAGCAAAACCTACTAATACTCCCAGTGGTGGGGAAGCGTACAACCAATGCCCTCAGACAACAAAAAGGACTGGTGAATGACACACAGGACACGCGGCTGAGCCTTATCGCGCTCAGAAGCCAGAGGCAACAGGCCACTTTATGTGACTCCTTTGTGTAATTCTGAACATGAAATGTTTGGAACAGGCAAATCCAGAGGCACAAAGTAGAGGAGTGGGTGCTGGGGTGGGGCTGGGATGGGAGGGCTTCTCGTCAGAGGTGATCAAAATGTTCTAAAATTGGTGGTGATAATTGTGCAATTCTGCCAAAACCATTACACTGCGCTTTAAAATTAAGGGTGAACAGCACTGCAGGAGGCTGAGGCAGGAGGATTGCCACAGTTTTGAGCCTAACCTGGGCTACGCAGTGAGTTCAAGATCAGCCTATACCATACAGTAAGAATGTCTCTAAACCAAAAGGTGAGGCCGGGAAGATGGCTCAGTGCAATAAGCGCTTCCCTGGCAAGCACAAGGGCCTGAGTTCAATCCCCGGTTCTGCCAAAAAAAAAAAAAAAAAAAAAAAAAGTGAATTTTGTAGTATGTAATTTATTCTCTCAATCAAGTATGTAACAAATGAAAGCCTGCTCTAAGGTCCACTGGATGGGGAAGAGGGGAGAACTGTGTGTCCCCAGAGGAAACCCTTGGCAGAGGCTGCTGAAAGCTTTCAAATTCTTGACCCATTGCTCTTGCAGGGAAGGGGGAGGCTATCAGCAATGGACTCAGAACCTTGTGCTTGCCAGGCTGATCCTCCCTCTGCCCGGTACTTCCTGATCTAATACCGCCAGTGGGGGCAGGGGTTCAGCAACCCCAATGAGACTGCAGGTGACCCAACAGGTCACCCCCACTCACCAGGGTAACTGTCAGGGTCATAGGACACAATTGTGGCCAGCCCACTGATGTCCTTTGTGGCCCTACATCATCAAAGTAGACACTTGGGCCCAAAGGGAGTCAGAACTCCAGGCACAACGACCCACTGGAAGTAGCAATAGCGCCCACTTGGGCCCCATAAGGAATGGAGCTGGCTAAGTCCTACCAGAGTGGAGAGCTCCAACTCCGAAGCCCTAGCTGGGCTTGAGTGCAGGTTTCAGTTTTGTAAAATGCCTAACCAGTTCCCCACCAGATTCGAAGAAAAAAGGAACAAATCACTCACTCCCTGACACTTTCTCATAGGAACCCCCATGCCACCCCTTCCAGGCTGCCCCATGCAGAAAGAGCCGGCAAGGAGGAAGAGGGCTGGGCCGTGTGCTTGGAGGCTGATGACGATGATCCCTCCCAACGGCCCTATGCTGTCCTTGGGAGCTTGTGTCCACGTCGAGGAAGAGCTGCCCACGGACACGAGTGTAAACAGTTTATTCATAAATCGACACATGGTGCAGAGCTTCCTAGCTTCACAGCGTCCACCCCACAGCGCCTTTTTCCAAGGAGGCCGACCTGAGAGAGGCTGGCGGCCACCC